ACACCACCACACACAACTAATTTTTGGTATTTTTAGTAGAGACGGGGTTTTACTATATTGGCCAGACTAGTCTTGAACTTCAGACCTCATGATCCGCCCATCTTGGCCTCCCAAAGTGCTAGGATTACAGGCGTGAGCCACCATGCCTGGCCTACACCTGTATTTTAATATGAAATTGATTTTTAAAGTTATTCACTGGCAACATTGCTATTCCAGGAAGTTGTCACATATTATTTACTCCTAGGGTATAGATAACTACCTATTTCATTTGGAAAGCTACAGACATGTGACATATTTGCTTTATTCAAATCCAGCAAAACAGACCATAATTTTTATTTTTTTAATTTTTTAATTTTTTTGAAAGAGTCTCTCACTGGTGCCCAGGCTGGAGTTCAGTGGCACAATCCGGGCTCACTGCAGCCTCCACCTCCCAGGTTGAAGCAAGCAATTCTCCTGCCTCAGCCTTCTGAGTAGCTGGGACTATAGGCATGTACCACCATGCACAACTCATTTTTGTATTTCTAGTGGAGTCGGGGTTTCACCATGTTGTCCAGGCTGGTCTTGAATTCCTCACCTCAAGTCATCTGCCTGCCTAGGCCTCCCAAAGTCCTAGGATTACAGGTGTGAGCCACCACACCTGGCCCATAATTTTTAGATATATGTTCAATTAATATTATTAACATCTCTAAGCTCTTAGATATGAGATTGTGCCTTTATCTTGTGGAATTATAACCATCATTCTTTTATACCTTTTGAATTTTCAGCTTTCAGAGAAGGGCAAGCCTTATGTTGACATCCAAGGTTTGACTGCCTCTACTATGGAAATTTTATTGGACTTTGTATACACAGAAACAGTACATGTGACGGTGGAGAATGTACAAGAACTACTCCCTGCAGCCTGTCTGCTTCAGTTGAAAGGTACAGACGTTAAAACTTGCTATGTGAAAATAGCCCTGGAAAGGTTGAAAATTAGTAGTGCAAACTTAATCATGACCATTTTGGAGACAGACTGTGGATGCTCACATTTACTGGCTATCCCTTTGTCTCATTAAGCAGTAAAAAATCAGATGTCAATAGCACTATAAAGGAACTTCTCCTGATATGCATATTTGGCTCTATAAAAGAGAGCACTTGCACCTTTTCTGTTTAAAAAAAAAAAAAATGGAAGAAGTAGTTATGTATTTTCTTACATGCATGTATATAACACATCTGTAAGAAAGTATAAAAAAACTGATACTATACATAGCTTACAGGGATACTCTTTATTTACCTGGCCATTAAGTAGCCAGTTTGATAAGGAGGCTAGTGGGACTTCTCATGGTAAACCCTTTTGTATCTTTAAATGTTTGAATTAAATTGATGCACAAAAAATTATAGTTTTCACAGGATTACAGATGGTTTGTTTTCCCTTACAATTCCCAGGTTTTTTGGGTTTTTTGTTTTGTTTTTGCAATAGAGTCTCGCCCTGTCACCCAGATTAGAGCGCAGTGGTGCAATCACAGCTCACTATAGCCTTGAATTCTTGGGCTCAAGCAATTCTACCACCTCAGCCTCCTGAGTAGCTGGGACCACAGGTGCATGTCACCACACCCAGCTAATTAAAAAAAAAGTTGTGGAGATGAGTTCTCTCTATGTTGCTCAGGCTGGTCTCAAGCTCATGGGCTTAAGTGGTCCTCCCACCTTGCCTCCCAGAGTGCTGGATTTATAGGCACGAGCTGGCATTCCAGGTCCCCAGTTTTTCTTTTTTAACATTCAGTTATGTTGTCATTGTTCTCAGTTTTTATATATAAATAATTGACACATTTTTCGTTTTTAATACATGATTTAAATAGTGTGAAGCTTTTGTATTAGTGCATAGCTATAAAATTAAAATACTCTGCACTTTTCAATTAGGTAAATATGAGATTTGTTATTATTGTCTTCTGCTTTTCTTTCACTGGAGTCTTTTAGTAGGTTTTTGTGTAGAGTAGAAGATAGGTACATTATGCTGAATTAGTAATTGGTTTTATCGTTTGATTCCCAAGAGTTTTATAGGCATTTTTGTTGAACTGTGCCAGTGTCTCTGGATGCGATTCATCTTGCAATACTGATTTTAAAGAATAAGCAGAGAGAGACGTAAAGGTCTTGCTGAAAGTGACACAGCACATAAGCCAGAAATAGAGTTTAAGTTCCTTAAGCATAGAATTCTAATCTGTTTCTTAGGATTCATCTGATAACATGTAGAGAAGATGTCAACATATAAGAATATAGACTAGATCACACCTGTCCAACTATTCTAAAGTGTTTGCTGCCTGTGTCTATCCTAGGTGTGAAACAAGCCTGCTGCGAGTTCTTAGAAAGTCAGTTGGACCCTTCTAATTGCCTGGGTATTAGGGATTTTGCTGAAACCCACAACTGTGTTGACCTGATGCAAGCAGCTGAGGTTTTTAGCCAGAAGCATTTTCCTGAAGTGGTACAGCATGAAGAATTCATTCTTCTGAGTCAAGGAGAAGTGGAAAAGCTAATCAAGTGTGATGAAATTCAGGTACAGATTTGTCTTGGTGTTATGGTTTTTTCAAGATTGGGCAATTACAAAACTGGCAAAGTAGGATGCAGTTACTTATCAGGGCTTCATAATCTAGTATCCATATTGGCTCAAAGATTTCATTAACCCCTCCTGTACCAAATTTATTTGTATTTTTATGGAGAGGGAGTTTGCCACTTTCTTCAGTTGTATGATCCCAATGGGTAAGAATCACTATTAAACAGAGTATAGAATAAGCAGAAATTGGAAGTAAAGTAGATATCTGTAGAACACGTCTTTATTATGCATTCACTCATTTCACAAACACTTATTGACAATATCTACTATGCAGCAATACTATGCCAGGTGCTACAGATCCCCAAGTGGGTAAATATAGCTCTTGCTTTCAGAAAATTCACAATATGCTAGTAGAGACAGGGATATAGACCAAAAAAAAAAAAAAAAAGTTGAGAGGATAATGAGAGTAATGAGCCTATACAAAGTAAGGACATTACATAGAAGAAAGAAGAATAAACCCAGTAGTGGATCAAAAATGAAGAGATAAAAGTTTAGAAGTGAGGATCTACATAAGCAGTAGCCAAATAAAAACTTTCTTTTGGGGGTGCAGGGGATGGAAGGAGGGACACGTAAACTAGGTGTTAAAGGAATAGTAGGCCAGGTGCAGTGGCTTATGCCTGTAATCCCAGTACTTTGGGAGGCTGAGGCAGGAGACCTGCATGAGCCCAGGAGTTTGAGACCAGCCTGGGCAACATGGCAAAACCCTGTCTTTACAAAAAAATAAAATTAGCCTGGCATGGTGGTGAGCACCTGTGGTCCCAGCTACTTGGAAGGCTGAGGTGGGAGGATCTCTTGAGCCCAGGAAGTGAGCCATGTTCACACCACGGCACTCTAGCATGGTCAGCAGAGCAAGAGCCTGTCTCTTGTCGGGGAAGAAAAAGGAATAATACTTCACCTACCAGTGGGTTACTACCTGTACCAGGCAGGCATTCAGTGACTTAACCTATACAGAAGAATCTTAAATCAATTCTAAATCAGAGTACCAGTAGCAGAGTTTTATTGCTTATAGATCTATAGTTAGGGTAAGAATTGGAGTGAGAAGTCCAATATAGTTATTAGATGTCTTTGAAGCCTGTAGTATTGATCTCCAGTGGCCCAATTCTTTAATTTTTTTTTGTTTGTTTTTGCGATGGTCTCGCTCTGTCACCCGGGCTAGAGCGCAGTGGTGCAATTATGGCTCACTGCAGCCTGTTTGAGCTCAACCAACTCTCCCACTTCATCCTGTGTAGCTGGAACTGCACACCACCACTAATTTTTAACATTTGTTGTTAAGATGGGGTCTCACTATATTTCCCAGGCTGGTCTCAAACTCCTAGGCTCAAGCAATACTAGCCTCAGGCAATACCATTTAAAGAAAGCCTAAAATATACTTCCGTAAACTAAATGATTACTCCCTCCTAATTTATTTTGTTAAAACTAGGATATGTGTGTAATAGAATAACAGATCTTAAGTATACTCCTTCCAGGCTGGAATGCAGTGGCGTGATCTCAGCTCGCTGTAACCTTCGCCTTGTGGGTTCAAGCTCTTCTCCTGCCTCAGCCTCCCAAGTAGCTGGGACTACAGGCATGCACCACTATGCCAGCTAATATTTGTATTTTTAGTAGAGACAGAGTTTCACAATTGTGGCCAGCTGGTCTGGAACTCCTGACCTCAAGTGATCCACCCACCTCGGCCTCCCAAAGTGCTGGGATTACAGGCGTGAGCCACTGCTCCTGACCTTACGTATATTTCATATCAAATTTTAGCCAAGTGTTTCTTTACACCTTTCCCTAGTGACTGTTATTGGTGACATTGGTTCCAACTGTAGAGGAATTATTTTCCAGTCTGACGTGCTGCTCTGTATCAGCCCAGAGAAGCTGCTATTGCAAATGCTGTTGAGACAAGAATTTGCTAAAGTCTTAGTTCTCATCCTCTTAGTGTGGGACATTGTCTCCTTGTGCTGAAATGGCAGGCGTAGCCAAAAGATGTATTCATCGGACTTGGAAACTGGCAGTTCACTAGAATATCTTGATTTTTCTTGATTTGTCCACATATTGGAAAATACAGTGAATAGAATGACCACTACAGATTTAAAGTTCACTACATATACATAATAGATAATACTTACTGAGCATTTACTGTTGGTTCACTTACTGAATACCTGTTGAACACTAACTGTGCTCAGAACAGTTCCAGGTGCTGGAGATCAAATTATGAACAAAACAAACAAAAAATCCCTGTCCACTGGAGCTTCTGTTATGGCACCGTGCTTGGTATTTTTATCTTATTTAATTATCACATCTTCATTTTTCATAGGAGGAAAGTGAAGATTGGAGTTTAACCTTCATACCACAACTAGTAAGTGGTAGAGCCACAACTAGTAAATGGTAGAGCCAGGATTCAGATTCAAGTACTCTGGCTCCAGAGTCATTCTCTTAATCACTCACCTATGAGCTGGCCATGTTTTCAGTTTGTTTCTAATTGTCCAGATCAGGAAACAGTCACAGAAGGCATTTGTTTTGTAACTATACAGGCTTTGGAATAAAACTGGATGGAGCAGAGAGAACAAACAACTAACCTTATTTAGAAGCTGAAATGGAAAAAAGCTTGAGAACTCTTATGTATAGTTTAAGTGTGTGCCAGGACTGCCCTTTGCCTTTTTTCTTTCTTTTTTTTTTTTTTTT